CACAGATCCAGGAGCTCGTTGTTCAATTACTGGCTGAGGGCCAGCTGCAGGTAGTTCTTCATCTGAGGAATCTGTGCTGTCAATGAGCTCAGACTGACTTACGCCACTAGTACCCCTAGGAGCCAAGCCAGTAAAAATGGCAAGTGAAGCAATAAACTCACAACCCCTCCTTGCATGGGATTATATCATTTTTTCTCCGGCACAACAGACCATAACAATAGTCTGCCCACAGTTATTTATTTATTTATTCAATTTGTACCCCGCCTTCCCCGCAACCAGGCTCAGGGCGGCTGACACACTCGGTACAAAATACCAATAAAACTATAAAATCACATTAAAACAATTCATATACAAATGAGTTATAAAGTCAGAGGTGCTAATTGTCCATCATTAGTTAATTAAGATGGCGTACTAAGAATGTTGCAAGCAGACAATCTAGCTGATGGGCTTCTTGAGTCGCACGATGGTCTAGGCCAGATGTTAGGCTAAGGGCCGGGCTCGTTGATGGTAATGATCAGGGCGGTTCTTAGTCGAAAGCCTGGTGGAAGAGCTCCGTCTTGCAGGCCCTGCGGAACTGTAAGAGGTCCCACAGGGCCCTGATCTCTTCCGGGAGCTCATTCCACGAGTAAGGAGCCGCCACTGAAAAGGCCCTGGCCTTGGTAATGGCAAGCCTGGTGTCTTTGGGGCCCGGGGGAGTCAGTTGGTTCTGTGACCCTGACTGCAGTGCTCTCTGGGGTATATATGGGGAAAGGTATGTTGGACCCTGGCCATATAGGGCTTTAAAGGTAAGCACCAGCGCCTTGAAGCAAATTCGGTATGCTATTGGCAGCCAGTGCAGTGCCTTCAGCACAGGCCGGATGTGCTCCCATCTGGGCAGGCCCATCAGCAGCCTGGCTGCGGCATTCTGTACTAGCTGCAGCTTCCGAATTTGCAACAAGGGCAGCCCCATGTAGAGAGTGTGTGAGGAGGTAAAGGACAACCCCCTCCTTCCTATGCCGGAAGCATCCCCCTCAGCGGCCGACAGGTAGCCAAGCAAGGAGTGCAACCCTTCCATGGAGGACCCGGAATCCTGGCCATGCGGCCCGGCCAAGGATGCCCCGCTAGAAAAGGAGGAAGAAAAGGGAAGTTAGGAGACTGGGTGACACAGCAAGGGGCTGAAAGACGGAGAAACGGGGGGGGGCAGGAAACGCAAGGAAATCTGTTAACGTGGCTCTGGTCCTTTAAGGAGTGAGCAGTGAGGGATGCAGGTGGGACAGCTACACCCAATAAAGAGAACCACAGGTGGAAGCCGAGGAGGATTGGTTGGCATTCGGGAAAGGGAGACGGAGAGGAGGGAGCCGATGACCCGGGAGGTCAAATCCACTCGTACCCGTCTGCTCGAGACCAACTGGTGTGTTCATGAGTGCTGTAACTCAGTGACCACCATTCTGAGGCGACCCCAGGACTTTAAGATTTGGCTGTCGTCCTGGACGTCCCGCACGATCGACTCCTACCCCACCAACCTCCGGATGCTGACAAAGTGGTGGCCCATACGGGGAGATTAAGCTTCCGACCAAGTTTACCGCACCCAGCAGGGTGGGAGAGAAGGTTCCCGGCACGGAAGATACGCATGGAAGGCCAGGGCGAAACATGCTCAGGAGACGTCCCAGTGAGTCAGGTGTTTGATTTGGCTAACGGAATGGCAGGAGCATCTCAAGAGTCGCAGGGTCTACTTATTCGGGACTTGGGCAAAGCTTGGGAAGGAACCAGGGCGGGAGGTGGTAACCAGCTTAGACCTCCCCCTCCTTTGTTGACTAAGCTAACGGCCAATGATGATATTGAGGCATACTTGGAGTCTTTTGAGAGGGCTGCCGAAATGGCCCAGTGGCCAAGAGAACAGTGGGTTTACATTCTGGGGCCATATCTATTGGGAGGGGCGCAAGCCGCCATGAGAGCCCTTCCAAAAACCCAGGCGGTTAACTATGACGAAGTCCGAAAAGCTATCTTGGATAAATATGAAATTTCGGATGATACTTTTAGACAAAAATTTAGAGCCCGAAAGTGGCAAGTCACGGATCGTCCGCGTTTGGTAGTAGCTGAGCTAAAAGAGTGGGTTCGCAGATGGTTGGATCCAAAAACAGATGGGGAACGAACGATTGTAGACAAAGTAGTGGTGGAAGAGGTGTTTGTTATCTTACCTCAAGAAATGCGGTTATGGGCACTACGCAGCAAGCCGAAAGACGCCGAGTCGTTGATTGCGTTGTTAGGGGGAAAGGGAGACTGAGAGGAGGGAGCCGAAGACCCGGGAGGTCAAATCCACTCGTACCCATCTGCCCGAGACC